TTTTGGATGATAGATGTTACTAAGCATCTCGAAAAATATGATATAAAAAGGCATTCAGATTACAATTATGGAAATAATGACATGTGGGAAATCTGGAATTCTGATGACCAGCCTGATGAGAGGAAGGTTCATCTGAAACAGAGCAGCTGGTGTGTATTTGTACATATTGGGGAGTATATGACCAAGTCAGAAAAAGATAACAGACATAACATATTTTTATTCCTAAAGTATGCACATCTTACATCAACTCTCTCTTATGCAATAAAATCTTTGAAGCTGTGTGGCACAGTTAATTTTACACATTGTAGCAAATACTTTAAGCAAGTATGTCCTATAGAGCATCTGTTACAGCTCCAGGTAAATTCATTCTAATAAAATTGCAATAATAAGAAAACATTGTGTACCTTTACAGCGAAAGCGTTCCTTGTTTTAGTTAATTTTCAGTCGTATATTTTAGTGTAATTGTTAGTTGGTCTGTAAAGCAAATAAATATGGGAAAAGCTCATTTTTGATAACTCATCCATTCCTCTGTTCATCCCCCATATAATCTATACTTTCTCCACACACCCCCAACCAATTTCTAGAATTACTGGATGGATCAATTAGAAATTAATAAATGTGTCAATAATGTTTTATGCGTACACACACACACACACACACACACACAGCCCTGGAGGGGCCACAGACAGTTTTATTAATATTGTTATTATTGTGCGCACAATGTACTAAATCACAAAATTGTGTATGGAATATTATTTAGCGCTGCATAACACATGGAGAATGTAAATCATTAGGACACTATTAAGAAGATGTAACCAGAAGCGGATGTAAACTGTGTAGAGTGTGACCTTGTAACCTTCAGAGAATGCAGACCAATTATTGCGATGTTACTAAAAATAAGTATGAATTAACATTTTGTCTTGGCTTAGAAGTTTCTATATCCGTTAGCTATCTTATGTTAGCCTTTGATGTATGAATATGTACTTAATTAGCGCAGCTTATGACTATTTTGAAGGCCCAGAATATTACGTTCTGTGGCAAATCATCTCAGGACCAGCTAAAACTGCCAAAACTTGTTATTTTTTATGAGTGAAACTTATGTTTTGCTTTCCCTCTGTAGTTCTGGGCTCTTCACCAAAACTAAAGTAACAATATTGTCCCAGTCATGTTTTTCCAGAGTGACTAGATAATAAAATAAATAATTGGCAGCCTTATCACACAGGTGAGAGGAACATCAGAGCTCTGGAAAAGGAGGCACAATAATAGCAAATGATCCAGAAAAATTATGCTTGGAAAACCCCTGTGACGAATATCCTGATAAGAGATATGAAAAGTGTATAAAAATCAGTCTAATTCGCAATGGGACACACTCCTGCAAGGAGTCCAGCCTTGGTTGTAACCTCGCTGTTGCAATAAAGACTCAAACTGAAAATCTATATAAGCGGCTCGATCCTGACTCCTGATTGACAGGGAAATAATAATAAAAAAAAAACACAACACGAGCACATACTTCAGTTTAACGTGTCCAGAGAATGATAAATCGAGCTCATAAAATCCCTAAAATCTGGGAACAGTTAATTTTTTTCTTACTCTCAATTTGCTACTTTTCACTCTCGAATTAATTATGTTGTGTTCTTTCTTTGGTCATCTGTGTTCTTGAAAACGCGGCCGCAAAGCCGGAAGTTAAAGTTATGTGCACGAATACTATGGGTTTTACGGCAATAAATATATTTGCCCGAATCTTTGTAATAAAGCATATAATGGAGTTATAGGAGAGCCATAAAAAAGAATGAATATGTAAAAGAATAAGGAAATAAATGTTCAATAAAGTTAAATAAATATAAATATATAAATATAAATACTGAACAAATACTAAACAAAAAAATGATGAGAAAAAGAAATTAAACAAAGGAATAATTAAATTAATGCTTTTATTTTTGCCGGAATATTTGTAATTTTACCGGATTTCTTTTACATTTACCGTATTGCTTTTCGTATAACCGTATTGCTTTTTATTTTACCAGGGCCGGTATGCATAAAACTTCTCAGAGTAAAATTTCACTCTTAAATGCGTCACAATTCTAAGAGTGACGTGATTTTGCTCCTACTCCCAGACTTAAGAATAAGTGGCATGCATAAACATTCTTAAGTGTTAAGACTTGGTCTCAGCTCCTAAATTATTTGAGAGCTGGAGAGGACTCCTAAACCAATTAGGAGTTGCGCGATGGCAGCAGCACTACTGTACGCGCACGAAGACGGAGACCGCGCACTTTCCGTGAAAGAAAGGGCGTACTGCAGACGTACGACAATAATGAATTGATAAAAAGGTACAGGCTCGATCATGAGGGCATTCTTTTTGTTACCAACCTAATTAGGAACCGGATACAATCTCCTACGTCACCTAAAAATGCACTTACAGTAATAATACAGTACAGTAATATTACTTAAGTAATAATGATGCTACGTTTAATAATAATAATAATAATAATAATAATAATTATTATTATTATTATTAATATTATTATTATTATCATCATCATCATCTATTATAGCGAGGTCATAAGAGCAATATAAGTAATTACACAAACCTGTAGCTTGCATGCTTGCTTTATAAACTGTGATTTCCTTTCGCGAGGTTGATAAAACATTATATACTGTAGGTGACGCAGCATTTACGGAGCTTGCAATAGCTTTTTTCCGTGCTTGTAATAGCTGGGCCAAACTTTCCTCGCACTACCTCCTTCCATTTAAGCACCAACTGTGCCAAAAGAACCGTTTTGTTTGTCGTCCAGTTTGATTTTCTTTCAGGATCCAATATCTTGCTATGAGTTTTGCGTTTGACCCATAATTTTTTGCATAATTTATTATTATTATTTATTAATTAATCATTCTTAGGAAGTTTTATGCATACCGGCCCAGATCCTTTTACTTTTCCCGATTTCTTTTAATTTTGCTGTATTGCTTTTAATAAAAGGACAAGCTGTCAATCAACTTTCTGTAGTCAATTCTCGCACTCATGAATTCTGCTTTCGACTTCTTTTCCGATTTCCGATTTTGTGCTCAAATTAAAAATGGAAAAAATGAATGACAAGCGCTCACATTATCTTGTTTTTTTTTTCCTCATCTGACATAAGAGACGTTATCCTCGTAGGCCTATGTAACAAGTTACTTGCCGAAAACGTTTTAGTTAAATCGTGATCACGTTTTATTAATTCCATCCCACAATATGTTGAAACTTGTGTACGTTTTAATAAAGGAGCTTTCACACCGCAGAAACTTTTTCCTGGAACCAGAATCTTTTTCTGAAACCAGGTACTTCTGTAATATAGGCTACTCTATGTTCACACCGCAGGAACTCTACTCGATTGTAGTTCCTTGTAGTCAAGTCTGGAACCCTTTTATAATAGTAATAATCGATACTTTATTGATCCCCGTGGGGAAATTGTCTTTATGCCTCCCTCAACTTAATTGCTCTTTGTAAAGTAAACTGCCCGCGAAGGGCAGCCACCTGTTAGGGCGCCCAGGGAGCTGGGGGTTAAGGGCCTTGCTCAAGGACCCACAGCCGTGCTGAGGCTGGGTTTAAATTGGCAACCTTGTGGTTACAGGCACACAGGCTTAGCCCACTGAGCCACACGCTGCCCCTAAGTACTTATGTAACAGTGCCGCAACAGGCACAACCCTCCAACCCTTGTAGTACACCGGGAATAGGCAAAGGCACACAGCTCCAAGGATGAAGTTTATTGGTTAAGAATCACACACACCCAACTACAGAAAACAGCTCACGTCCCCCACTCGTGCAGGTTACGTCCCCCAGCCTCCACTCCCACTAGCTAACCAAGCTCTAATGGACACCCCCTCACAGCCCAGCCTGTGCCAGGGTACAGGGCGAATAGGTCTACTTATTTGCAGTATTGGGAAGATTACTTTGGAAATGTAATTCGTTACAATTACAAGTTACTCTATTTAAAATGTAATAGTAGTGTAACTATTTCAATTACTATATGAAAGTAATGTAACTGATTACATTTGATTACTTTTCTAAAATATGAATGAATATTCTCAACCGTTAACCATTTATAAATAAAACCTGGTAGTGTTTACCTTACAGCAGTACACTGTAAAAAATGCCTGTAAAAAAATACGGTAAAAATACCTTAAATGGCGACGAAAAAATACCGTAAAAAACAATCAGGTAAAATACCGTGTCAAATATAGAAAAAGAACTGTAAATGTAAATACAAAATATTTCTGTATTTAATACATTGTTTGACTGTACAAATTTTAAAAATGCAGTAAAAAATACTGGATTTTGGAATGTTGACCTTTTTATTTTGGTAATTTTGAAAATAAAAAAAGACTTTAAGAAATATACAGTAACTTGGGGGGGAGGGTTAAAAAAAGAACCTACTGGACGGTAGCTCTCCAGGACTGGAGTTGGAGACCCCTGCCTTAGCATATTGAAGGACGACGGCACATTTTCTGTCAACGTGATCAGAAGTGCCAGTGTGGTTTTAAAGCGCGGTACTCACGCATGCTGTCAGTGTTTACATTTTGTTTTGTTGTCCTATGCGCTGGATCTTATGATTGAGTTGGTGTTAATTGTCGTCGTTCACTCTGCATACCTGTTATAGCTAAGATTATTAGATCCGTATCGCACAGTGTGATAGATAATGATTTTATAAGATGCTGAAATCACACAGTGTTATGTCGCGAGTCCGGGCGGCAGCAGGGAGCTCGGGCAGTGCAGCAGCGACCGCTGACTCTCGGCCAGCAGGGGGCGCCGCAGCCGCCGACTCTCGGACGAGCAAATCAGGCACATCGACAATTGTCGCCTGGGTCGGGGCTAAAAAAAAAGCGGGCGTTGTCCCTTTAAAAGTCCGCGGGACCCATGGGATAGCGCCCCTTACCATGCTGGCCCCTTTATGGGCCAGGCGTGCCACCCGCAAAGGATAAGCCGCCAGGGGCGGCGGCATCTCGTCGGCGGGGCTGGCGAGGGGTACCTGCAGGCTGGAAGCGGTGGTGACGTCCGGAGCGAACTTCCACGGTTCCATAATTTGGAGGGGTTCCTCCTAAAAAAAAGAAGCTGGAGAGAGAGAGAAGTGGTTTCCAGGTTAATTGGTAGGGCTTCCTCTGGCCTCTTCTTCCTCTGGTGTGAGGCTGGTGGCAGTGGCTGCGCCGTGGCGGGCTGGGTCGGGAATTAACACGAGGTAACGAGGGGGGCGTGGCACACAGGAGGATCGGACGAGCAGGTCATGACACACAGTGTGTATGGGGGATTACACTTCAGAAGCACGTGTGGCACGCTGAAGGTAGGCATGTCTTCCCTGCTTTGTTTAATATGACTGTTTGCAGTTACAATAAGCTGCACTTACCTCTAGATGTTTCCTTAGGTTGGACATGGACTGTTTAGATGTGGACAACATCTTTACAGCTGGTAAATACGCACTGCATTGCACAGTTAAATTTGTGCCTTTTTCCGTAATGTATTGGAAATGTTTTTTATATTTCCAGCAATGGAATGCATTCCTTTCCTTGTCTGTCATTGCCTGCAACAGAAACTCAGACCGCTCCGGCAAGTTAATTAGCAGAATTGGCTGCAAATGTAGAAGCGACAGGATAACCAATCAGAAGCATCGAATCGTTTCAAACTTTCGGCTGTGGAGGGAAATAGCAAAGGAGGATGTTTTGCATAAGAAGAATATGAAAAGCAACGTCTTGCATACAATCTCATGATGTAACCAAAATTGTAATCATGAATATTTCCATAAGTAACTTAAGTAAATTTAATTACACTTTTTTTCTCTAGTAACTGTAACGGATTACAATTACATTTTTTTGTAATTAAATTACGTAACGCCGTTACATGTAACTCACTGCTTATTTGCTTAATTAGTGCCTCTGAAAAAGCGAGGGAAATTTTCACGAACTGCAGCAAAGTGCGGCTTTGCGCTCCTTACAGTTTTCCCCATGCATTACGGCAAGCGGGCAGGGTTCCCGAATCACGTGATGCCCTGCATTCAGGAAGCGGTCGTCGCTTGCTGTCTGTATGTGTGTATCTGTCCGTGTCCGGGGGGGCATCGGGTTCTCATTTTCATTCTGTCTGCTGGGTTTATTTTGGGGTCTACAGAAACCACTACTAGTCGCACAAAAACTGAGAAGTTGAGAAGACCGGACCCCACTTGCACCTGAGCACCCTGCTGTTACATTTTTCTTGTCTGCTTTTTTTTAACATGAACGAGATGGGTCCTGGGTAGAATCTTCTAGAAAGACCGGAGTGCGGAGTTTCCTGTCTTTCCGGACAGGGGCGAACTGCGGCCCGCTCCCGGCTTGCTGAGCCTCGGGCTGGAGTTGCCGGGTGCACCGAATCAGTGGCCGAAGGGAAGGACACATTCGCAAACGTATCTTGCCTTAAACTCTGTGAGTACGACTTGTCATCGACACTTAAATTAAGTTGCTGTTCTCCCGAATGGTCCCTAGTTAGTTTACTGTGACATCCGCCTCTGTCTTAGCTTGCTAACGTTACACAAGTAGCCGAACCGTTTCGCCTAGCCTGCTAACGCTAAGCGCTGTATTATAGACCGATAGCTAGCTAGCTACCTAGCATTATTAGCAAGTAAGCCAGTTAGCTAGCTATAACCCAGATGTCTCGCCAGTGTCACTCAGTAGCCTGTGGCACATACATTGCAGTAGGGACCCGAAGAAAGCAGGTGAAGAGCAAATGAAGCGAGCATGTGGAATACTGCAGATAACTAGGCACACTTGTCAGAGAGAATGTATATCGCTGCTGGTTAACCCGGGCTCATCATAAGTTGCTGGCTAGGTGGTTAGCTATCCGTTCCTGCGTGAGAATACGACATCAAAGGTACACTCCACTGTCACGTTAAGTTAACCGTGCGATTTCCCCGATCTTCTCAGAAAAATCCTGAGTTGTTTGTCCTTTTGAAGTAAGACTTGCCTTGCCCGTCATTGTCGGTAATGGAAATCTTCCAAGTTGTGGAGAAAGTATGTATGCTGTATGCCATGTGTATGACGCGGTTATTGTCATGAAAGCTGAGTAACAGGCACGATGCCGGTGCTTCCTCACAAGGTGTAAACGAATAAATACGCTTTAAATGTGTAAAATAAGGGGAATTTGTTTATAAGGATCATATGCTTAAGGCCAAATTATAAATGTAAACTTACACAACCAACACAGTTTGGATAAACTTTGTATATTTTAATAACAAAGAAATGTTTACAAGCTGGGCACTGCCTACATCACTCCATTTATATGCTGTCAGTCAAGTTTAATATGTCTGAGGAGTTTAACAAAATACAGGCCAAAATGAATGAAAGCTTTGGTCAACTCTTTTCATTAAGTTTATCTTTTATGGTTTATAACAAAGGTTCTCATTCTTGGTCCTGTTAATGGTTAATTATGCTTTTTTTGATGAACTATTAATTAATTGGTTAATTATATTCTGACCATGATGTAGCTTGAGTCATTAAACGCCAGTTAGTACTGTAACGTTACAGAAACACCAGTAAAACTTGAGACACTTTAGTGGTTACCTAATAGTTTCATTGTTCAACAACTTTCCAAGTTACTAAGTGACGTATCATAATTAAATCTGAGTTGACTTATGCAAATGATGTAAAGTAGTGTTCCCTCAATAAAAAGAAATTAGATTGTTTTATGGTCAGTTTTATTTTTAAATTAGTGTATCCAGTTAATCCATCCTCTGAAAAAAGTGATAACCTGTAACCAGTATTGATCAAAATTAATTATTTTTTGTTTAAAAATGAATTTAAAAGTTTTAAATTACATTGACACTTGCACTGTTTTTGTTGAACAATTAGTTGTGTTGCTATGTGCAGTTTTTAATTCTGTTGTGGTATAACAACAAATAGTGTTTAATCTCGATCATATAGAATCATATTGATTTACATTCTTGTGATGATTGCACTCACTTCCAATAATTTCCAGGCCCTTTAATTTAGTTTTGGGAGGGTTCTGTCCTGTAAAGTCGCCAAGATAGCTGGACCAGGCAGAAAGCGCCACGCCCCAGAACCAGACCCCAGCAGCGACACCGCCGCCGGACAGCCGGTGAGCAGCAAGTGGCTGAAGATGGCCAGTAGTTCCGAGGTGTCGGGCCGACGGAGAGCCCCACGCGGGACTGAGGACAGTGCCAGCAAGAAGAAGCAGAAGGACAAGGCTAACCAGGAGAGCAAGGAGGCCAAGCGCACTGCCAGTGATGAGGCAAAGAAAGGTATGGTCCCTAGTGAGCCAGCTCTGTGCCTCATCTCCCGGAAACTGAGGCTGTCCTGATAAAAAATGTGGCATTCTACATTAGTGCCATGTAACTTTTAAGCTTAGCTAAGGTTTTATCATAGGCCAGTGGATTTCTCTGCATATTCTTTCTGCACCTGCACCTCAGCACTTTTGAGGCCCAGCACTGTTAAGTGTCACTCTTGTAGAATTTTCATGTGTCCCACTGGTTTGATGCTAATAATTCTGTTCTCAGTTTTTGCTCATGTATGTCTAGAACATGCCATCGTTTTGAAATTCTCTATCACAGATTCATACCGCAAATATGATGGAAAACTCAGCATTTAAACCATGTTGTCTATTTGATTTCGCAAGGAGTCAACAATGATATTTCAGAAGGCTGAATGTTGGTAAGGTATATAATGGAAAGAGTTAATGTGAATGTTTTCTGTCTGTTGAATTAAAAAATTATTTGGTAAGTGTGATTCCTCAGAGCGCATATTTTAGCGATTTGTATTGAATGTGTAAAAATGGTTCTATCATGGCAGATGTGTTTACTGTATGGTATAATAATTTTGAGTCTCTCTTTTACAAATGGAGTGCTTGATAATTGCAATGTATTGGCTCGTATGCTTAACGTTCCTAATCATAGGTAGTGGTACTCACTCTTGGCTAAATTCCTGAAACATAGGCTTCCTCAGCCCTAAAACCTTTACACCTGGTGCCATTATTACTGCGCACCCACACCTGTTGTCTAATGATGGTTTCTGCCGATTATGGCTTTTGAACTCCACCGAATCATGCTTTTAAATTGCTCATAAAAACCTCCCTTTTGTCCCCTGTGTTGATTTAAATGCTGTCTTTATTCTTACAAGAGTCATGACTCATCTTATAAGGTTTGTGTTGACAGTAGTGGGAGTCTGCACCACACAAGTAACAGTGTTGCCATTTCCTGGTTTGGCCAATTGTATACAATTCCCAGGAAGCCTTTCACCATTGCCCAGTTTACTCTTTCGTTTTTTTTTTATGGTCCTGAGGGTTAATGGGAAATGGAGTGCAGTGGTATCTTGGAACACAAACTCATTTTGTTCTAGAAGGCTGGTCGAGTTGCGATGTGGTCAACTTCCCCATAAGAAATTATGTAAATTAATTTAATTGGTTCCAGACCTCCAAATAACTTAAACTTTAAACTTATATACCTACCTAAGTAGTAATAAAAAGATTTAACAATCAATATAAAACTAATACATGAAAAAATGTATTATAATTTCCTTTTTAAGTCTTAGTTACTCTTACTACTTTCCTCTTTGGTTTGCTGCTATCACTGCTTACAGTAATCATGGCCCCTAAGAAAGTATTACTAAATGTACTGTAGATAAAGCAAAAAAATTCCACACCAAAACATTAAGAACATAAGAACATAAGAAATTTACAAACGAGAGGA